TATTCAACTAATAGATACTTTTAAATATGTGTAATCAAGATAGTATTTAACAGAACAGTCATATAGTATTATATATATAGCCTAGCGCCATTTAGAACCATATAATTTCTTATGGAAACTTAACTGGCCATGCTACCATGGAAGTAACAACATATATATAAGGAAGAACCTAATTCTCGTCGAGTCAGATTCAAGATTTTAAATCAATTGACACAAAATATAGTCACACCACTTTTTGGCAGTCGATGAGAACTTAGTAGTATTACTTAATCTTTATTTTTAAAATTAATCAACTCCATGTACAGTTCAAATACAACAGACAAACAAATCTCTCTTATAGCGGACACCCATTATCTATTCAACGTGTAGTAATTAAATTTGAGTAATCAAGATGGATTTAGGCAAAACAACAATCATATATCATAGTCTTTACCTAACTAAGCTTTTAGCAAAGCAATAGTCAAAATTTAAGGCTTAAGTGAATGACTATGGCCTATGAGAAGATGGATATATACAATGCATCAGCTAAATTTAGCAAAAGATAGAATATCACAAATGTTCCCCATATGTTAGCAGCATATAGCTATCTTATAATAGGGGGAAGCAAAAGCTTCAATTATTAATAAATTAACGAGGCAATGCATGGTAGCTAGCTACCGTTGTTGACTTTACAATAGAAGCAGGTTTGGTGATATTTAACCAGACAAACAAGAAAATATATGTGGTGGTCCTTCGTCCATTTGAATGTCCAACTATTTTAAGAAAACATAAAAGGAAAAGAAAATTGGAAGTTATTAATTTTTTTGTATGAATAGTTTTTCTTTGATTTAAAAAATGACGCAATGAGGAAATATCACAACTAATCAAATGACAAGGACCATTAATCTCCGACTAAAGTCGTTTATCATGTTTCATTTGGTAGGTCTTTGAAATAAATGAGAAGTGTATTGTCTAATACTATAACAATATATGTATACTGAAATTCAAAATTACTCAAAGTAGTACGATATCTAATGTATATAGCCTCCTTTTGTAAATATCTCTTTAAATTGGGTGTTTAATGGCTACTCTGTCATTTTATTTGTTCAAACAAATATTATCATGCATAATTAAAAGAACTAGTAAGCTATTCATACAAATTATGAATAACAGATGTGAGAAAGTTGACTTGGTCAAAGTCTAACAATTTTCACTTTTAACTACAAATCAATGACTGGTCGAATTAAAGTGAGCGTAAATGGGTAAATTTCACAAATGGTCATATAACTATGATTTTTTTTCATCAAAGTCATATAACTTTGTTTTCTCACACAAAAATCATATAAGTATGACTTTTTCACCAAAGTCATATAACTTTATTTTTTCACACAAAAATGATAAAACTTTCACTAACTCACACAAAAATCATAGTGGTCAAAAATAAATTTTTCGATAGTATTTTCTTATTTTACGTTTTTTTATTTTTTGTTTTCAGTCTAATAAATATTTACCCAATTAAAATAGAAGAAATATGAGTATATTTTTGGCCGCTCCTAAAAATAATAGCCGATAAAATATTTTTATATATATATGTGTATTATATACATATAACATACACATTCTATATATATTTTGGCTAGCAAATATAATTAGTTTTGGTCGGCCGGTTAATTATATATTTTTCCTTAAAATAGGAATGATCCAATACAGCCTGACCCAATACCCATATATGTAAGTTAAAATAATACTAAAAGTGAATTCTTCCTCCATAAAAAAATTAGTTCAGAATATATGAGATTCCGACAAAATAACACAGAAATAAAATGTATAATTAGAGAGCACTTGATATCTAGAAATAGTTGAATAAAATATAGTCACCAAATTAATCTTTAGAAGCAACAAATGGTTGCCGTTGGTCGCATTATTAGTCAAATCTAGCATTAAAGGAATAAGACATACTTGCACGTAATATCCAGAAATAGTTAAATAAAATAATAATGATGTAGAAATTAAAGAAAGTGATGTTTTGTCGTTCATATTGCTTTTAGCACTAGAAACTGGCGTTTTCAACACCATATGAAAAATTGAACATGTTTAATATATAACCACCGGCCATTACTCGTGAGAGATGTGATTTTCACTTTAGTACAACGAAAAATACTTATTAGTGTAACAGCTCAACCCGCTAATAATATTATCCGCTTTGGCCTAGGCCCTCAAGAGTTTAAGACGCGTCACTAGGGTCATCCCTCTTGTGTTTGCCGATGTTGCCACGCCTAACCAGAATTTGCCTAAACTTAGTTGAACTCTGACCCACCATCGGCAAGGCTGACACAAGAGTGGTTCTGATACCATCAGTAACAACTCAGCCCACTGGTGATATTTTCCACTTTGGGCCTAGGCCCTCACGGGTTTAAAACACGTCACTAGGGTCTAAGACTTCTTTAACGAGTTTTTTACACACTTGATCCTTTTTAACTATTATTTTAAAAAAAAAAATAGCATCATTTATTGTTTATTCCATAAAGAGCACCTTTTTTTATTATTACCATATTACAAAAATTAAGCCCAACATTTATGTTCTTCACTCTATTTTTCAAAATATGATGCATATGTGAATGTCACCTATATTCAAGATGTATTGATTTATACGTCTTTTATACTTTGTATATCAAGTATCACTTTAATTCAAAATGTATTTTTATGTATATAATTTTTGTATATTTATTTTTGAAGTGCCCTCTTATTTTAAGATATATTTTTAATGTATATTTCAAATATATTTTATATGTCAAGTGTTATTTTAATTCAGGATGTATTTTATATATATATATTTTTTGCATATTTATATGTCATCTTAATTATATTTAAGATATATTTTTTATGTATATTTCACATGTCTAAGTGTCATCTTAATTGAAGATGTATTTTTTATGTATATTTTATATGTGTTAATTCAATATATTTTTTTATATATATTTTGTATATATTAACGTATATTATTATCGAAGTAAGATCTTTATGTTAAGAAAGGAAGAAAGAAGGAAGAGAAAAACTTAAGAAAGATAATTAAAAAGAAAACGAATGGAACAAATTTAAAAAATATATTGGCTTTGGTAAAAACAAAATTAAGAAGATGAAGAAAAAGAAGGAAAGCTAATAAATAAAGAGAAAAAAGACATGATTTTTGTACAAAGAATTATTGACTTTCCATTCAAATTGCTTATGTTTAGAGATTAGATACATAATTTCATAAAGTAAGTTATTTTTTGGTATTTGATTATCAGAAAATATTTTTTATGCAGAAAACATTTTCACCAAACGAGAGAAAATTATTTCACTCATTAAATTATCGAGCGTTAGATTCTAATATCTAAATTGATAAGCTTGGTAGCAATCAGAGTAAGTGGGAAAGAATGAGCAGAAGAAATCAAAAGACACTTACAGAAAATTGAGTGGTTGTGTACACAGGTCGGGTTGGTTCGGAATTTTTAATTATCAAATCAAACTAATGGTGTCGGGTTTTTTAATTTATAAACCAAATCAAACCAACAAAGTTGAGTTTTTCAATCTCGGTTTTTCTCAAATTTTTTCGGGTTTTTTGATTTTTTTTTTTCCGGTAAAGTCTTCATAGCATAAAATATGTAACTTGTGCTCCAAATATTTCTTAAGTCCTAGTAAAATACAACTATATAATGTGTTTTCTAAGAAACTAACACAATAATATGAGATAAGTCATAGCATTATACTAAAATATTCAATAACAAAGATAAAACAATAAAATTACATAAAATAAATATTGCTAATTAATAAGCCATATTGACAATTAACATAATATAAAAATACTATATAGGTCATGCTAAAATAAGTATAGCTAATAAGTACTAATATTAATTATATAACTAAGCACTAAAGAAAAAGATACACTAAGTTATGCATTTTCATTATAAACCAATGTAAAATTAAAATAATTATCCAACACTTTCGTCATCCATAGTATTGAATTGAATTTCTTTTATTAGCATTAATATTGATTTGAACTTTGTTTGAGTTACTACATTTATGGGCTATAAAATTTATTTACCATTCAAGAATGTTAAGTTTAACTTTGAAATAATACGTTAAAAGATAAAACTGTGAAAAAGTTTAAGAAATATTTATAAATTATATTACAATAAATATTTATATGTATAATATATTTATAAAAATTATATAAATGTACTATCGGGTTGGTTTGGTTTCGGTTTGACTTTTTTAGTTAAAACCAAACCAAACCAAACCAATTATGATCGGATTTTTTTTTCCAATACCATATCAAATCAAGGGTTTTTTTCGGTTTGACTTGAATTATCGATTTGGGCAGTTTATCGGTTTTCTTTGTATACGCCGTTGGTTGCCTCATAAGATCTTATTTGGATCACCTTCGTTCTAAGACCTTTATACCAATACTTTTCCACACTCCAGTTACGAGTGTAAAGCAAACTTCTTAGTGACATAGATTGCGATATTCAGAAAAGGCAAGGACATATAAATCAATCGTACTTTTTTTCTTTTCCTTTTGTTATTTTTGAGTGCACTAAAGTAATTACTTGGACTCAATATGTAAAGTTAACTTGGAGATGCTCATTTTTTGGAAAATGTTTTTGAGGTAGGAGACTACATTAAGCAAACTTCTTAACTCCACTTTTTTTTCTTTCTTTACAGCCAATCACAGCTTATGACTTTTTTACTTTCGTTCTTTTGTTTTTTGCTGAGTGCGGTACAAAGCTGTAGGTCGAAAAGTCAGGAGAGAATATTTTCCTTGGACTTTGCCCAATCACTTGNCCCAAAAAAAAACAAAAAAAACTAAGGGACTTTCTGTAATAATGGAAGAATATGTCCAGTCTAACTAATCATATCACTGAAACCCAAAAATGAATTCCTGTCACTGAATGGCTTCAAACTCATTTTCAGATACTACAATTTTCCATGTAACAGATTTTCATATTTAAAATAGGAACAATCCATTACGATAAGGGGCATAGAAGAAAATGGTCTTTCCTTTGATAGATCAGAGCTCAATACAACATTTTCAAGGACGTAAAAAAAAGTTCATATAATAGGGAATAATTTCTTTCAGCTATGAAGAATGACACCTAGTTAACAAAAAACTCATCTTTTGTGTCACTCTTAACAAAATTTTCTTGAGTGACTCCTAGCATAGCAGCATGTTACCACAAAGTGCACGGTGCTCTTATCGTCAATTCTGTATATCTATGTTCTTCTACTCTGTGAAATGTTTATAATTACTGTTTCACTTCTGGGTTTGTGCATCTTCTACTTTACTGGGAGCGATGAAAATGGAGCACAACATGAAGATGTGTCAATCTCAGCAACCTCTGTATCTTCTACTTCACTGGGGAGCGATGAAAATGGGGCACAACATGAAGAAATGTCAATCCCAGCAACCTCCATGGCGTTGCAGACCCATTCGGGAACATCACCTTCGGGGAACTACAGGTCAAATTTAAGAAATCATCACGAACAGTAATATATATTTGTATTATCAAATATAAGATGCACGCAAAACCAGTAAACCACACAGGAAAGGACAGCAGAATTTTCTTGTGATTAATGCCCTTGAAGACGTGGTCAATAGGTCAATTATGGAGGGATTCTACTTGTCTCTTGAACTAACTTATTGGAGGAAAAAAAATTCTTCTTGATCCAGGTCCACAGACGAAAGGTGTTATTAGGGGGAAAGAAGGCGAGCACTCTTATAACTTTTCGGTTCTTTAGATGCTGATTTGCAGTCTGAGCAACATCATCAAGAATAAAACGTTGCAAAACATCATGAGACCTCTAGGGCTTAGTTCAAGCGACAAAGGTTGAAGTAGCCCTATGCCATCTGAACTATGCTTGCCCTTTAAGTGGAGAAGGGTAGAGGGGCAGATCCAATATCCCCCAGTTTCGACGAAGGCTACAATAGGGCTTAGTTCAAGCGACAAAGGTTGAAGTAGCCCTATGCCATCTGAACTATGCCTGTCCTTTAAGTGGAGAAGGGTAGAGGGGCAGACCCAATATCCCCCAGTTTCGACGAAGGCTACAATTGGCCCTAAGGGTTAGCCCCCGATAGATTTTTCGGTCTTAAAAAACAAATAATAATACATTGCAAAAGAATATTTGTTCTTTTGCAACTTCTCATCCTATTAGATCAAACTTAGACAAGTGCCTTACGAATATGTGACAGAAAATCATTCAGTAAGTTTAGAAAGAAGACCTATGATAAAAAGAGAACTATTTCCTTAAACTGAAAAAAAAAAATACCAAAATCTAGCAGGTAGAGCTCTTCATAATGGTGTTAGCATGTGGTATGGCAGATAAAGGTAAGAGAAGTTGTGCCAATCAATTTCTTTTTTGATATACCAGGAGAAATTCTGTTTGTAGTGGGATTATTCATTACCATTTTCTGCAGAAACTGGCAAACAAATCTGCAAAATTAAACAAATAAAATGATCAGGTAAATAGAAGCAATAGACATGAGGGCAGAAAATGAGCATGAGACAGTGATTCATCTTTACATGCAATAAAAGTGATAATGTCTAGAAATATGATAACAGTGATTGGAAAATCCATTCAGAGCTAGAGGTGAACATACTCTGGAAACTGTCCTTCAACAATTGATGAGTGCAAGTTTCTGCTAAGCTGCATAGTTTGAATACCTCAAGGTCATGGCTGAGCTATTAGACAAACGAAAATATCTTTTAAGACCTCAGTGTTTGATACCTTCATCATATAGTATAAGTTGTGATATGACAGAAGTTGAGATCCCATGGCATCTTTAGTGACAAGGCAATGAATGTAAGCCCTTGTATACTTTTTACAGACCTGTCGAAAAATGACTTGTATTTGAAATAATGTATAAATGGAAAATAAGACCTTCACTAGTCAGGCATGTTTATTTCAATTTACCATACAGTCACATGTGGGATCAACAGGACGCATATCATCTGCCATTGCCTTGTGTTTAAGTTTTAGAACTCCCTGCATCATGCCAAAGCAAAAGCATTATTCCACTTCAAAATCAATGGTGGATGATATTTTCTTCATAAATTGTTTAGTGTGATTTTCAGGGCCCAAGTTTATGACACATGGCGAGGAAAATTTGTGGAACATATTTCACGAAAATAAAAACAAACATTAAATCGACAAGAGAAATATAAAGTCAGATGATAAATTAGAGGAAAAACAGTTTTTCTTAAAACATCCTAAAGTTTTCAAATCATTGAACTACCAGTCTCCACGAACACAGACACATAAGGCATAGTCAAGAATACTTTATCACAAGGAAGGAGGGAAGTCAAAGTAGCATGAAAAGAGCAGGGTGCACAAATTCAACTCAAAATGGTTTTACTACTAAAAGGAAAGACTATTTGTATGTACACAAACAGAATATTTTTTAGCAGCACAGCACAATATAAACTATATGACTACATTTTAGATCCACAACATGTTTATCGATCAAGAATACTCAAAACATTGATGTTGGGTTAGCATATTAGCAGTTATAGGTTCCTTATCATGCAGTATGAGAAATAGTATTCTATTGATTTCAAAAGAATGCTTACTGTGTGATCTCCACAACCAATTAAGTGATGACTATTTGGAGGTAGTGGGCAGAGAAAATTACCTCAGGTACAAGAGCTGTGCCAAAGCGAGCGGTACGAGTAGGATAGACACAATCATACATGTCAGCACCTAAAGCACTGCATACCACAATGTCTAGTGGGTAACCCACCCCCTGGAATACAGCAGTCGAAATTCAGAAGCCAGAAGGCATCACATCTAAAAGTAGAGAAATTGAAAATAGATGCATCATATTAAATCTACCAAAGAACATCATAAGAGTGACATATACCATGACATATCGTGGTTTATGCTCAGGTAGTGCAGCAGTACACTGAGCCACGACACGCCAAAACGAGTCTTTATCTTCACCGCCTGCAAGACCACCAATAGCATAGCTGTCACACAAGTAAACCCGGTCATTTCACTCAGTTGATTGTTGAACCTCAATTCTCCTAGTTTGGTTTGTCTGGTAAGCTTCTTTTGAGTTTAATAAGTTAAAAGAGGTCCTCTTTCTTTTTAATATCAGCAACTAGAAAAAGTTGAAATTTTATCAGATAAAGGATTTAAAATGATCAGCGCATATAACAGCTATAATTCTATTGAGGAACTTCATAGTATAAATCAGTTTATTTGTTATTCTAAAAACACATCATACCCAGCAATCTAGAATACAAAAGGAAGAGACCAAAAAGGGTTGGTTCTGATCTCTAGTAAGAAACTTATATCTATTGTTCTCTCCTCCAGATTCCTCTTTTGGAGAATAATGATTTTCAAACAGCCTTACGGCCCTTACCCACAGTGGATCAAGTTGTGTCATGTGTGGCACCAATCTCGATTCTGCTGCGTAACTGTTGCGCAGATCCCAGTAACTTCGCTGCATTACTTCCATAAAAATCTTTGCATTGTATATGGATGGGAGGGACTGTGGAGATGAATTTGCTATTCCGAGGCTGTTTTTGCATAGTGCTTATTGATATTTGTGCATTTGACGCCCTAGCTGCATCTTTGGTGAAGTTCTAAAAGAGAAAGAATACAATATGGCTATGTTAAGAAATGCAGGACCATTTGCGACATTGAATCAGAAATTGAGCTGGTCCTTATTGGGGAACTCTTTGACTCATCGAGCTGTTTGGTAACTACTCACAAGCTGGAGGAAAGTAGAACACTATTGGATGCAGTATCAGAATCGCAAGGCATTTGGTTATTCCTTGCGGTATCTTTTGGATCAAATAAAGAAGGGACAAGGCACCTAAAACTTTAATTGAGAAGAGGTGGCAGGAACACTCTCTCTTAGGATCCTTTCCAGAAGAAAATCGTTTTCTCAAATGATGAAAAAGATTGCACCCCCCTATGGTCTAGCGGTCAATGAAGTTAGAACGAAGAGTATGACCGACCAGGGTTCAAATCCCAATGGAGGCCAAAAAAACAGATGATTCTTTCCTATTTGTGAAGGCCTTGGTAGATAGAGTTTTCGGTACCTATGCTAGTAGACGGATGCGAGTATTCGGTGGAATAGTCAAGGTGAGCTTAAGGTGGACCAGGCACCACCATCATCGAAAAAAGGAAGAAAAAGATTAAAGTTACAGGTGCAAAATTAGAACCTCAAACCAACATGTGCAATTAAATCTTCACTGAGCTACTAAGGGTCATTTGGTTAGAGGAATTCGATTCCAGATTGGATAGTATGAGGGAACTAGATTGAGAATTGAATCTCTGTTTCTGTTTGATATGATGGATCTTGAACCATATAAACAACCAAATTAATTTTCAGTCCCAAAATTCCCCTGGACAGTCTTGCAGATCTAAACCGAAATTCCAAACAACAAACCCAAAAAATAGAATTTTCTTATATTATCAAGGCATTTTAATCTTTAGCTCTTACACAGAGGGTTTGTTATCCGTGATAACTACCCAGCTACTGCCCCTTCCCCACGAGTAAGATGGTTAGAATTTTCCAGATAACTCATCCTATTACTAGGAGTACGAAACTGGGAATTAGGCAGCATAAAAGAATAGATTTATCCCACCTAATCCGGATCCTTATCCCAGCACCAAATTATCCCAATAAGTTGCATGTACAAACAGTTAACCACTTCAANCCCACCCACCCGTCCCTCCATGTGATAGACATGAAGCCATAATATCTCTTCAGTTGGAAATTCTTTCAAAACTAGAACAAGAATGTATATACATACGCTTTAAGGTTTCTACATACAAGGTGACGAATGTTTAGGTTAAAGTGCACATATTCAGAACTACGAACATACCCAGGCAAATTATGCTTCACTAAACCTCTGACACATATATCCCTGATAGCAACAAGGAAAACAAGAAAGTCGTCAAATGATATGTTATTATGTAAACAATAAAGCAATCTCAGAAGCAACATGGATGTTACAATGTGATTCACCTTAATACAGGATCTAAACCACCTTGCACTATGCCAAATAGATTCTGCTCATGTGGTCTCTTGTGAGCTGCCAATAACAAATGAATGCATGAAAAACACAAATTGAGAGTCTGGCAGAAGTACATCCGCAAGTTTAGTTTGGAAACTCTATATTTAACAAATAGAAAGAAAAATTCTGAATACTCAAACTACTGTCAATAAAGCGTTTACTGGACTTAACCGTTAATAAGTACTGCTAGTTCATAGCATAAACCCTTGTTAAGTACTGCTAGTTCATAGCATAAACATTACTCAAACTATCTATCAATAAATTGTTTGTTGGACTTAAGCCTTGTTAAGTACTGTTAGTTGATAGCATAACATGCCAAATGGAGCTCAATATTTTAGAAGGACAATTTTATATTCAATAATAACTTCATCTAACTCTACCACCTAACTTATAGCATCTACCATCAAATGCGAGCCAATTTAGTCCTTTCATCATCGAAGTCTGCCAAAATAACCAAAAGCTAACAACTCCCTCGTCTTCATGTTCTGTTTTTTCCTGGGCTTCCCATCCTCCAAAAACCTCCCACTTTTCCGGCCAAAACTTTTGAAAGATGCCACTCTCCTCCTAGGCCTTGCGATCTCACTGTTTGCAGACATCCTACGAACCAATGGCGGTGATATGATTTGTAAGAAGGCAGTGAAGGTTCACAAAGAAAGGTTGCTAGAATTTTACGGGATCAGGGCCATTTGCAACCTATTTGAGAGGTTTAACTAGCATGAATGGAACAAAGGGTATTGACAGAAGAGCTTAAAAATTTTCTGTGTGACTCGGATAACTCCATTAGTAGGGATAAGGTGGCTCATCTCAGTCAAATTTAGCAGTTACACATGTTGAATGCAAGAAAGTTGGTGCAAAACATACGTTTCTCGGATCCTCCAAAACTGCTGCCGGTTGTATGCCAGATCCTCCAAAAGAAATGCATTTTTGGAGGATCCGACATACGTAGGAATGCATTTTTGGAGGATCCTAGAAACATAGTCCAAAACATCAAAACAAGAAGCAGAGAAATTCCCTACATTACAGCTGGCCGAAACCAAATCCTATAGACATTATATTTTGCCCACTGAGTGTGATTAATCATAAAGTTCAGTAAGATAAATAACCACATCGGAATGTACAGGCTGCTCAATCATATTACCTGCTATGCACCTATCTATCCAACGCAGAGTTCGATACATAGCCTCTTCAATTCGTGGACCTGTGATAGTAGTTTTCACGACATCATCAAGAGCCATAATAATATCTGCACCAATTCTGTTCTGCAATGGGTTGGGCAAGTCAGCAAGTGAAACTGAATCAGTTATAAGGGCTTCTCAAGAAACATAAACTGAGAAATTTTTGACACTGAGAAATCTCAGGCCGTTGAAAAGATATGATGCAATTAATGACTAATCAGCAGTAATATTGGGACTACATGATATAGAATAAAAGCACATACATTTTGACACAAATTTGTAATAACTAATCTACCATGTGTGTGAAGATTGCACCAGTTTTGAAATATTATCGTCATCCTTTTTGGAATTATTATAGCATCCTGCTTGCTTAGAGTATGACATTGAGATAAAAAATAGTATAGTACAAGATCCATAAATAACAGAACATCTACATCCCCTAAATGTACCTACTTGGATCTGTATTGACTCTTCAGGTGTAAGGAGCATTGGCTTTCCATCCACCGGTGACTGCAAAAAGGAAGTGACGAATTAAACCACATGAAACATAAGAGATAAGTATATGAAAATTAATAGAGAGAGTAGAAAAAGAATACCTGAAATGTGACACCCTTCTCAGTGATATCAGCCAAATGCAACAAGGAGACCTACAACCAGAAAGGTTTTAAGCTCATTTGTCAAACAGCACACCATATAGAACAAAGCATTTCATGTTTGTTCATAAGACACCGAACAACTGGCTTTGCAAATTTTAGATGACGTGCATGAAATACATAAGCATAAAGGTGACACAATAGGGCACAAAGGCGTATAGCTTTTTGATCAACATTTGTTCCGTATATCTTGAATACGGATGGTTATAGTGTTTCAAACAAGATAATCTTAAGTGAACATTCAGGAAGCAGAACTGCGATAGACTACCATTTGAAAGCCCCCAGAGTCAGTAAGTAGTGCCCTCGGCCAATTCATGAACTTATGTAGACCCCCTAACTCATCGATGAGCTCAGAGGTAGGACGTAGTGCCAAATGATATGTGTTTCCGAGGATTATTTGGCAACCAATATCCTCAAGCTGGCAGGTGGTCAAACCCTTTATAGTGCCTGTGATTATGAAAAATAAAAACGGATGACAATGAGAAAAAATGCATATCATCAATGACATGATGACCAATTATAGTTTCTATTTCTACAAGTATGATGACCCATAGAAGGTACTCTACAAAAAGTTTCAAACATGAAGTCTGTAAGCCTATATATTACAGAGTACAATATCTAGAGTTTTAAGCTGTGGACAGAATCAACTGATACTTTTTATTGGAAACAAATTTGATAATAACGGCAACAGAAGATAGAGACACAGAAATACATGGGGTTCGACCAATATGCCTCTATCCACGGGCAAGGAAGAGCAATTTCACTATATCAAGTATCGGGACGTAGGCGTATTGGGAGAACCATATAAATTTCTGTCTTTATCTTCTATTCCATTATTATCATATAATCTTGTCTTGTTCCAACCAAAAGTACCGATCAATCTTGTCCGCAGCGTAACATAGAGGAAATCAAAATCTAACTAACTTCTTTATGTCCACATGCAGCAATCCCAAGTATGCAGCTCCCAATACCCAATCAAGTGATATAATTTTGACTTGACACAACAACCAGACCATAAATGAAACAATTTCATTGTCGTTTTCAACCAAATCAGACTAATACCAAATTCTACACTTTCAACGTACTTATAACAAGAGCTATCAACAGACTGCTGGCTCTAATTTGAAGGTTTCTCAAATATTTAAAGAAATTGGCTAAGGACTCGATAAAACAATTAAAAGATTAGTATTGAACAAAAGAGAGAGAGACGTCTTCCTGTCAATCAACTCCAAACATACCCTTACCTTGAGTGCCAACAGGCATGAAAAGAGGTGTCTGGCATTCATAGTGAGGGAGTATAAGTCGAGCTGCACGAGCACGATTGAATCTCCCAAGGATCTGGCATCAGAAACATTATGCACAGTTCCTTAGTGGGGTAGGAAACAACTAAATTTTTTGTAAAATAGAAAAACTTCACTAAATTTTTTGTAAAAGATAGAAAACTTAGGGAGACTAGTTACACCGCTTTGCCATATTAACTGAAATTAAAAATTACAGCTGATCTTATCTGTAAAATTGTCATAAATCTTTTCCTAAATTCATTGGAAATGGTTAAAAATACTCGGACAAAGCTGTGTCACTCGAACTAGATTCCTTGTCCTTCTTCATTAACCGAGCTTATTATTGTGTCAAAAATTTGCAACTTGAAATTTTCAACAACCCATAATGATGGGACTCGTTGTTTTGATGAGTACCATGGATCCAAATTCTCATATAAAAAAACTATTATACTACAATAGAAGCGGTAATAATGTTCTTGTGTTACTTGCTATTACCAAGCAACATCAGCTTACAATGACAACAACTATGCCTCAATCCCAAACCAAGTTGAGATAAGCTATATTTATATCCTCAATATCCTCGCTCTCCTACCCATTTCATTTCAATACTCTATAGTTTGTTAATTTAAGAGGTATCTCGATTTATCAATATTCAAGAATCCGCTTCATAAGTGCACAATACAGTTTGCAAATGCTAACTGCTGTTAGCAGCTTCTATTTGTATAAAAATACTCAAAGAAATTCACCTCGAAACGAAGTGCCATTAATGCCTCTATATTCCACCAGGGTCAATAGCTCATAACTGAAACCACAAAAAGAAACTTCGTTTAGGCTAAAAAAAGTAAAACTTCAACTATATATAAAACACGAACTTTAATTCCACAACCTAAAATTTTATTAAAGCACAACCGCATTGTAGCTCAGGACTAACATAAATAAACCAGTCATCATATAAAAACGTACATATTCTGCTAGATAATGAAAGATTCTACTATAAGTTTATGGCTGTCTAATACATGAAATTGCTTTTAGTTATACAAATAATAATGCATGGAAGGTGAATACTTAGACAGGCTTACCGGTAACGGCGGATATAGCGGCGGCGGCGGCGGCGGCTGAGAATCAGAGTTTGTCAGTGTGAGGATGCCCTAAATAGAGTAGTATGAGGTACGTATAAGGCGCCGACCAAAGTCAAATTATGCTCTTTATAGCATAAGCTTTTAATACAGTCAACGGGAATGGAAGTTTCTGAGTGTTTCCTATTTGAATAAAATTGATTGCCCTAAAGAATTTTACTAATTTAAAAGGTCAAACAATTAATAAAAGAAAATAATGGAAAAAAAAAATTATTATGCGGTGTATGATAAGAGATTTGTTATTTGTAAATTATGAATAATAATCATGAATTGTTAGAATGATGATTTGTAAATTTAGATGATCCTATTCATCAATGCTAATTAATAATCATCGAGATATTTAAATTTTCGAATAAATTATGGCAATATTGGCAATGCATAGTTTTGTATCATAAATCAAATGTTGTTTTAGTTATACATGCTTATATTAGTATTGTTGTAAATATATTATATTATGGATATTCATTTAGTACTCCGTTGAAAATAAGCTTCTTGAATAAACTTATTTATATGAGACTCCGTCGTAAATATGTTTATCTATTTAGTACTCTATTGGAAATAAGTCTTCTGAAGAAACTTATCCTTTCAATACCTCGTTATGGATATATATCACACCCGATAGAAGATTATTTATACCTGGTACAATAAGCTTATCCTTTCCGTACCCCGTTATGGATAAACATCACACCTGATAAAAGATTATCTATATCTGGTATAATGAGTTTATCCTTGCGGTACTCCATTATGGATAAACATTACCCCCGGTAGAAGATTATTTATATATGTATAATGAGCTTATCCTTTCGGTACTCCGTTATGGATAAACATTACCCTCGGTATAAGATTATCTATATCTGGTATAATGAGTTTATCCTTTCGGTACTCCGTTATGGATAAATATTACTCTCGGTAGAAGATTATTTATATCTTGTACAGTAACAGACTATCAGGTTACACAGCACCTTGCAGAAGCAGCTTACACAGCACCTTACTTTGTTCTATAAATAGAGGAGATTTCAGTTCATTACGTACATAAGTTTGTAGTTTGAATAATATATCAGTTTCTCTTTATACTTGTCTTTACTTTATAGTCTTTATTTTATAACATATTATCAGCACGAGACTCTACCATCTCGAGCAAATACTTTGAAAGTATCAGAGGTACGAACTTTCTTTTTTTCTAAATACTGTCAAATATTTCTAAACTTGAATTTGTAGCCTTGGATATATCGGGCAAAAGCTACATGTCCTGGGTGTTTGATGCTGAAATTCATCTTGATGTGATGGGTATGGCAGACACTATCAAGGACAAAAATCAAACATCAAACCAAGACCGTGCCAAAGCAATGATATTCCTACGCTATCACCTTGATGAAGGCTTGAAAATAGAATATCTCACTATTAAAGATCCAGTCATACTGTGTAATAATTTGAAAGACATATATGACCACCTCAAGATGGCCATTCTTCTACATGCACGTTATGATTGGACTCATTTAAAGCTACAAGATTTTAAATCTATCAGTGAGTATAATTCTGCTATGTTCAGAATTATTTTCTAATTGAAACTATGTGGTGATAATATTATTGATCATGATATGTTGGAGAAAACTTTAACCATTTTTCATACCTCGAATATGCTCTTGCGGCAGCAATATCGAGAGATGGGATTCAAAAAGTATTATGAACTTATCTCACATCTTCTTGTAGCCGAGCAACATAATGGGCTATTAATGAAAAAACATGAAAGCCGACCTACTGGTTTCTTGTCCATTCCCTGAAGTAAAATGAGACGAACTTCCACCAAGCTAAGCATGGAAGAGGACGTGGCCCCAGTCATGGTCATGGACATAGTGGGGGAAGAAACTCTAATCATGGTAATAATAATGCACCAAAGAACTCTCCTCACCACCAGCAGTGGAAAAGGAAGGAGCAAAAGCATGAAGCGGTGCAAGCAGCAAAGCCAGAAAATGTATGCTATAGATGTGGAGGAAAATGGCACTGGTCACGTATATGTCGTATGCCAAAGCACCTGGTTGAGCTGTATCAAACCTCCCTGAAGAAGACAGAGAAAAATACCGAAGCAAATTTTATTTCTGAAGATAATTTAGACTTCATGCATTTGGATGTAGCTAATTACTTTGCACTCCCGGAAGGAGAAACAAGTCATGTGATCGGTGATAAATCTGTAAAGATGTAAAAATTTTAATTTTTGTTATTTGTAGTATATAGTATGGTTATGTAATTGTTGTACGTAAATAAAAGTTATGCTTTGATAATGATGTTTACTGTCATATTTATTTTGTTTATGTCATTTTGAAGAATATGGATAATTCTCAAATTATGTTTGGATCAAAGACCAATCATGAAGATATTTGTGTAATTGATAGTGGAACAACTCATGCCATATTCAAAGATCAGAAATACTTTTCATATTTGCATAAGGAAAAAGCAAATGTTTCAACAATTTATGGTAATATAAGTTTAATTGAAGGTTCCGGAAGAGCCACTATATTTCTGTCTAAGGGAACAAAACTTATAATAGACAATGCATTATTCTCCTCCAACTCCCGAAGAAACTTGTTGATGTTTCTGACCAGAAGTACATTGTAGAAAAGTTACCAACTTTATCTTCTGGCTTATACTATTCAAAGATTAGTACAGTTGAAGCACACTCTATCGTAAACTAGAAGTTTACTGATTCAAATATTTCTGTGCTTTGGCATGGCCGTTTGGGCCATCCTGGATCAATAATGATGAGAAGAATTACTGAAAATTCGAGTGGGCATCCGTTAAAGAACCTGAAGATTCTTACAAATAATGAATTTTCTTGTGACGCTTGTTATCAAGGCAAAATGATCACTAGACTATCACCAATGAAGGTTGGCATTCAATCCCCTGCCTTTTTATAACGTATACATGGGGGTATACGTGGACCTATTCACCCACCAAGTGGGTTGTTTAGATATTTTATGGTCATAATAGATGCGTCTTCAAGATGGTCTCACGTGTACCTACTATCATCTCGCAACCTAGCGTTTGCAAAGCTATTAGCCCAAATAATTCGATTAAGGGCACAATTTCCAGATTATCCTATAAAGGCTATTCGCCTTGATAATGCTGGAGAATTCTCATCTCAAGCTTTTGATGATTATTGTCTATTAGTTGTGATAAAAACTTGAACATCTTGTAGCTTATGTTTATACTCGGCCTTGCAGAGTCATTTATTAAACACCTGCAATTGATAGCAAGACCACTACTTATGAAGACAAAATTGCCCACTACTGTTTGGGGCCATGCTATCTTGCATGCAGCATCACTTATCCGTCTCAAACCGACACATTATAATAAATATTCTCCGTCACAATTAATTTTTGGTCATGAACCAAATATTGCCCATCTACAAATTTTTGGATGTATTGTATATGATACAGTATCACCACCCCAGCGCAATAAGATGGGCCCGCAGAGAAGATTAGGAATATATGTCGGGTTTGAATCACCCTTTATTATTCGCTATCTTGAATCATTGACGACAGTTTTATTTACTGTTTGATTTGCAGATTATCGGTTTGATGAAACCAATTTCCCACAATTATGGGGAGAGAAAAAGGAAATCAAAAGAGAAATTGTGGGGGAAGTTTCATCATTATCTCATTTTGATCCACGTACCCCTATATGTAATCAAGAGGTCTAGAAGATCATCCATTTACAAAATATAACAAATCAAATGCCAGGCGCGTTTACTGATTTGAAAAGGATAACTAAGTCACATATCAATATAGAGAATGCGCCTATCCGAATTCATGTCCCAACAGGACCATCTACTAGTATAAGAGCTAGTGAACCTAAAGCACGCTTGAAGCGTGGTAGGCCTTTGGGTTCTAAGGATCGAAATCCTCGAGAAAAAAAATCAACAAATGATCAAAACGATACTATGAAGGGATCCCCTGAAGAGACCCAAAATCTGATTAATTTTGAGATTCCTAAAGAAATAAATGAACCCAAGACTCGAGTGAGAAGCTTTTAATAAGTTCTACCGGTAAAGAGATTAATTTAAATCGACCTGAAATAGTGGTGGATAATAGTTTTGCATATAATGTTGCACTTAACATTATGCAAGATAGTGAGGATCTTGAACCTCGATTTGTCGAATAATGTCGGCAAAGATCTGATTGGCCAGAATGGCAACAGGCTATTCAATCAGAATTGAACACACTTGCTAAAAGAGAGGTCTTTGGACTAATAGTCCAAACACCTGCTGGTATAAAACCAGTTGGTCATTTTTTCGCACAAAAACCAGTTAGTCCAAACACCTGTTGGTATAAAACCAGTTGGTCATAAATTGGTTTTTGTGCGAAAAAATGAATGATAAAAATGAAATTGAAAGATGCAAAGCTCGCCTTGTCGCACAAGGATTCTCACAACAACCTGGATTCGATTTAGATGAAACATATTCACATGTTATGGATGCCATAACATTTCAATATCTCATCAGTTTAGCACTACATGAAAAGCTTGAAATATATCTAATGGATGTAGTTACAATTTATCTGTACGATTCACTTGATAATGAAATTTATATGAAAATCCCCGAAAGACTTAAAATGCCTGAAGCAAATCCAAAATCTCGGAAAATGTATTCAATCATATTACAAAGATCTTTGTATGGTTTAAAGCAATCTGGACGTATGTGGTATAATCGCCTTAATAAATATTTGTTGAAAGTGGATTACATAAATGATGTTATTTGTCCATGTATTTTTATAAAGAAAATGGCATCAAAATTTGTTATACTTGCTGTTTATATTTATGACATAAATCTTGTTGGAACTCTAGAAGAGCTCCAAAAGGCAATTGAATATCTTAATAAAGAATTTGAGATGAAAGATCTTGGAAAGACAAAACTTTGTCTTGGTTTGCAAATTGAACATTTAGCAGACGAGATCTTTATCCATCAATCTGCCTATACAAAAAGGGTCTTAAAAGGCTTTTACATGGACAAAGCGCACCCATTGAGTACACCAATGGTTGTTCGATCACTTGAAGTGAATAAGGATTTGTTCTGACCTCTAGGAGAGGATGGGGAACTCCTTAATCCCGAAATACCTTATCTTAGTGCAATTGGTGCACTATGTATCTTGCTAATACTACAAGGCCTGACATAGCATTTTTTTATTAATTTACTAACAAGATATATTTCTTCTCCTACACGAAGACATTGGAACGGGATTAAGCATATATTGCGATATTTAAAGGAAACACTTGATATGAGTTTATTTTATTCTAACAAAGGTAGTGCAGTTCTTGTTGGTTATGCAGATGCAGGTTATTTATCTGATCCAAATAAAGCTCGATCTCAATCGGGTACGTGCTTACATGTGGAGGTACTGTCATATCATGGCGCTCCACAAAGCAATCTATTGTTGCTACTTCTTCAAATCATACTGAGATAATAGCTATTCATGAAGCAAGTAGGAAAATGCGTGTGGCTGAGATTAGTGATTCATTTTATTCAAGAAAAATATGGTTTGGAATGTGATAAAAGATCCACAATTGTATACGAAGACAATGCTGCATACATAGCCCATTTAAAGGGAGAATTTATAAAAGGAGATAGAACGAAACACATTTCACCAAAATTATTCTATACACATGATCTTCAGAAAAATGGTGACACTGATGTGCAACAAATCCGTTCAAGTGATAATCCGGCAGATTTATTCACTAAATCTTTGCCAACTTCAACTTTTGAGAAGATGGTATACAAAACCGAAATACGGAGACTCAAATATTTGAAACAAGGTTTTTATCAGGGGAGTAAAATACGCGCTATACTATTTTTCCCTTACTAAGATTTTTCCCACAGGGTTTTTCTTATAAGGTTTTTAATGAGACGACTAGTTATGCGTATTACTAAATATGTGTACTATTTTTCCCTCACTAGAATTTTNGGGAGAAGATGTTATAAATATATTATATTATGGATGTTCATTTAGTACTTTGTTGAAAACACGCTTCATGAAGAAGCTTATCTATATGAGATTTCGCCGTAAATATGTTTATTTATTTAGTACTCTATTGAAAATAAGTCTCTTGAAGAAACTTATCCTTTCAGTACCCCGTTATGGATAAACATCACACCCGGTAGAAGATTATCTATATCTGGTACAATGAGCTTATCGTTTCAGTACCCCGTTATGGATAAACATCACGCCCATTATCTATATCTGGTATAATGAGCTTATCCTTGCGGTACTCTGTTATGGATAAACATTAACCCTAATAGAAGATTATCTATACCTAGTATAATGAGCTTATCCTTTCGGTAATCCGCTATGAAAAAATATTACCCCCGGTAGAAGATTATTTATATCTAGTATAATGAGTTTATCCTTTTGGTACTCCGTTATGGATAAATATTACCCTGAATCTCGATAGAAGATTATCTATAACTAGTACAGTAACAGCTTACACAACATCTTGCTTTCTTCTATAAATATAGTAGATTTCAGTTCATTATGTATATAAGTTTGAAATTTGAATAATATATCGGTTTCTCTATATACTTGTCTTTAATTTACGGTCTTTATTTTATAACAAGTACTAGAGTTTTTACGGCAAAACTAACCCTATTGTATTGTATTATTTTTTAGATTTAATATTTAATTGTTACTTAAATTATATTGTATCGTATTATTAAATTTATTGTTATGTAATAATGAAGAGGTTTAGTTTATATAATGATTGATTTGGTGTGATTATGTCGTTGTCTTATTTCTTTTCTCACTATACCTTTACTTATTATTAATTAATAATCTTATTTCACCTAAAATGATAATTTTACTATTTCAAAACAAAGAAAAAGATAATTATTTATGATGGCTTAACATTGGTCTTGTTCATCGGGACAAGTATACGAAAAGACACACTAATTAGTACAATGCATAATTTTTACTTTACTAAAAGGAACAGACTTTTATATAAGATCGTAGACCTCAAGAGTATGAGTCTCTTACCTTATGTGATGATAAATGATAATCTGATCTTTGATAAACATCATCTTCTTTCTATCTAATCTCCAAGCCTATAAAGAAATTAGAACATATTAATAGGCAGAACCATGCATGTATAGAAATAAAAAAAGAACAAACAAAGCAGGGGAGGGGGTTATGGACTTGAAAAGACATAAAGTTTCTGAAGAGGTGCACTATGTGCTGACCTTTTAAATTAAGATAAGTGAAAAAAAAGAGGAAAAGCTAGAAAAGAGAAAAAAGATAAATAGATTATATATATACACACACACTTGCTCGCTGAAAATTTCTTACAAATACAAAAATCATATATTTAGTGGAATAAAAATAAAAAAGTTGACATAGATAAGTAAAATAAAGGTATAGGCATTAATTCCTATATTTAGTTCAAACTTTTTTTTCGACCAAGGAAGTGAAATTTTACAATAGAAATGCACAGGAAATAGAACTAACATGCTAATAAGCATAAATGTCCTAGATGACTAAATAGTAAGGAAAGACATGGAGAAAGAGGGGAATGAGAACATAACACTTACTCTATTTGCTAATCTCGACCCTCTCTCTAAGTGCATTAAAATCCCAAAAGAATTAACCAAAAGCAAATATAAAGAAAAATAATCACAATTACCTGTCGATTAACAAAACAAAAGGAAATAAAAACGCAAACTATAAAAATAGCCATACTCTGAATGACCAAAACAATGATTTTAAACATGTCAAAATTATTTTAGTCTTTTCCAATTGAACATGTTGAATATCATTACATGGATCTGAAAAAATAAATAAAGAAAATTAAAAATCACAAAAAGTTAGTCCAATAAAGTAACGAATGAACAATACCTTCTGATTAACAACAACAAAAAGAAAAATAGGCACACTATAAGAATATTCCTACTCTTAAAATGGCTAACACCACTATAATTTTGAAAGAGGTAAACCTATTGTGGAGATGAAAAGGCACGACTCTTGGAACAGGAAGAGAGAGGCTAATTAAAAAGATTAAAAGACATGACTGTTGATATTTTTCTTTTCAAGTACATAAATGGAAAAACAAGAAAATGGGCATAATTTACATAAATTTATATAAATGAAATACAAGCTTATTGATTAGTCAACTAAATCATAAGGAATAGCGCCTCCTCTTGTCCTTTGAACAAAAATTTGAAACTACTGAAATGTAGTTATTGGAGGAAACATACCATTTATCTGGAATAAGCAAAATTGACATTTAAATAAGTAACAAAAAATATATTATATATTTGTAAGACCATGAGTCATGCCTTTTTATCTGGAATAAGCAAAATTGATAGTGAAATAAGTAACACAAAAATATTATAATGAAATTTTGTACTCCCCGCAATCTTTTTATTAACTCATGGAAGAGAAAATAAACAACCCAAACGCAGTAGAAGAATATTATGTAAATGCAATTTCTTTGTCAACAACAACAAAGTTTCAAATTCGCCCTAGAAAACGTGATCATGCTTTGCAATTTTTTTTTATCACCTTGTAGTCAAGAAATTTACCGTAAAAAAATCTAACTATAAGATCTCTTAGAATAAAATCCACAATTTGAAGATTTATCAGACTTTTTATCTTGACAACCAAGCAAACAGGGAAATCACAAATCGTCCATTTCATAGTGCAACCTTCTGCAGTAAAATAGATTTAAAGAAGAAGAAAAAGAGTTACTTTTTTTCCTAATGAAAATGCCGCAACTCACTAAATTAAAAAGCAGAAGAAGAGGAAAAGGCGTACTGAAGAACAAAAGAAGAGGAAAAGGCACAAGTGTAATTAAGACTATTTATTGGTCGTGACTTTTCGGGTTTTTTTATTAGCACATAAAAAGGAATATATGAAAAAATTTGGCAAAAAAAGGAGAAAAAATATAAGGAGGTTTCCTTGTTCAAGAGATTGCCACATCACCTTGGCTAAGTCCCTTATATATTTGATGACAGTATAACTCAACTAAATTAATTTAAATTAGTTATACCGAAGTTTTCATGATGAATACAAATTTAACTTTAAAAAAAAAAAAATCATAAAATCAATTAAAGTATAAATAAAATTGATCATCTACTTAATTTGCATAGGCTGAAAGTTGCAATCCCATAATTGAAAGACGTGTAATGACTTCGGGTGAAATTGTTAGTTTCATTACATATTGATATTTTCTTTTTAACTACTAAATGTTTTCAATGTAAAATTATATTTCCCCTCATGATTATTTAGCTATTACTTGAATCTTATTTTAAAGTATAATCTTATTATTATTATTATTATTATTATTATTGTTGTTGTTGTTGTTGTTGTTGTTGTTGTTGTTGTTGTTGTTGTTGTTGTTGTTGTTGTTGTTGTTGTTGTTGTTGTTGTTGTTGTTGTTGTTGTTGTTGTTGTTGTTGTTGTTGTTGTTGTTGTTGTTGTTGTTGTTGTTGTTGTTGTTGTTGTTGTTGTTGTTGTTGTTGTTGTTGTTGTTGTTGTTGTTGTTGTTGTTGTTGTTGTTGTTGTTGTTGTTGTTGTTGTTGTTGTTGTTGTTGTTGTTGTTGTTGTTGTTGTTGTTGTTGTTGTTGTTGTTGTTGTTGTTGTTGTTGTTGTTGTTGTTGTTGTTGTTGTTGTTGTTGTTGTTGTTGTTGTTGTTGTTGTTGTTGTTGTTGTTGTTGTTGTTGTTGTTGTTGTTGTTGTTGTTGTTGTTGTTGTTGTTGTTGTTGTTGTTGTTGTTGTTGTTGTTATTATTATTATTATTATTATTATTATTTTATTTTCAACTAATTTCATTGGAGTTGCACAAATTTAAGAACTTAGTATACTTACAAGTGACAATTTGTGGTAAATTACGAAAAAGGTCGTCTTTAATTATTTTATGAATAATTTTTAAAAATATAACGTTTAGAGTAGTTAAGAATATTTTAATAAACCTATAAGATATTATGCAATATCATACACTCAAACAAAATACTTAATAAATATGTATTAAATTAGACCAAATGATACAATTTATTTGTATACTGTATTTATAAAATAATGGAGTATAATGTAATACGATACAATAAATAAGGTTTTGAAGTTTTGGAGAGAGATGTGACGTAAAAGTTCTTTATTTATTTTTTACCTTTGTTTTTGTGAGGCAATTATTCGATTCAGACAAGCTCTTTTCCTTTTTAAACATGCATGTTAAATGTTTTCTCTTTTATTTATGTGAGTGAACGACACAATTACCCACAAAAACGGAACTATTTACACTTATCTACCCATCTAATTTTCTATCCATCAAACTAATTAACTTTCCTACCTATTGTCTTTTTTCTCCTTTTCTTTTTTATTTCTCAGCTTCTTGTCTTTTTTCCTTATTTTCTCCTTTTCTTTTTTCTCGTTTTCTTCTAGTTTTTTCTTTCTTTTTTTTTCTTTTTTTGTTTATTTATTTTGGTCCAAATCATATTATTATTATTATTATTATTATTTTTATATAATTTAATTTCACACTCAATTTTAACTTCTTTTTTTTTGCTTTTGTTTGTTTTTTTTAAATTTCTTGTTCCTTCTAATTTCATTTAAATTTTTTTTAATATTCTTTTTCTCTTCATAATCTAATTTCATTTACTGTTTTTACTATTTTTATTATCCTTTTTTGTTATACAATAAAAAAAAAAACTGATATAGTAAATATTTGTTCACCTTTAAAAAAAAATATAACTAGTATAATATACCTTTTGTCTTTTCTCATTTTTTTAATTGAATTATTAAATTGAAATAATATCAGTTGTCACTTGATCTAATTCACTGAATATCATACTGCCTACTGCTGAGCATCATAAATTACATAATCAGATTCTAAGAATCAACACGTGATTGCCTTGCAAACCTTGATTTCCTTTCCTACAAATATCAGTACACACTCTACCATTAGTAATAACACTACTAATTATGGAGCAAGAAAACACAATCTACATCCACCAAATCTCCATATATACTAGTTAGAATATAAGTGATAACAAGATATTGGAAAATGCAACAAAAATATAAGTAGCAAAAAAAACTTCTAGTACCATATGATACCAATATGGTATACATGTATACCAACATAGTATATGATTGCTCTAGAATATTGCTACAACTATCTGTGACTATACTACTGTACCAAATAATTAAAGGATACAATAAAAGTATGAGAAAATTACATGCTCGCATTGCAAGCTAAATATTTGCAAAGCAACTTGCTCATTCCGTATACTAACAAGGTATATTGTTGTATGTGGTTGTTCCAACAATTGCCTATAACTATAAAAACTACTATTATATAATACACATAATCTATGTCCATCGGCACACGAAAATTTTAGCACTACAAATCATGTTCATATAAATAATTACATAATATAATTCACTTAAAAATGCAGATAAAACAACCAAAAAAATGTTCAAACTACCATATGATACCAATATGGCATATAACTATACCAACATGGTATACGATTTTACTGATTAATTTCTGGCAACTATATGACTATACTGCTATTACATAACACACATGCATAAAGAGAAAAATAAAAAAAATAGTGTACCACATATTAATATAATAAAGTATTTCAAGATATTGTACTATATTACTATTATTAAAAGAAAATTAAATAGTGTACCAATTAAATGCAGCTAATACAATCAAAAAAGGAGTCAACTAGCATATGATACCAATATAGTATATATCTATACTAATAGGGTATATAGTTATACGGGGTCGTTCCAACAACTGCATATAATTATAAAAACTATTACATAATACACAAAATCTATGTCCATAGGTACAAAAAAAGCCAACACAGCAAAACATGATCATATAAATCATTTCAAAATAGAATTCACTTAAAAATGCAGCTAGAACAACCAAAAAATATTCCAACTACCATATGATACCAATATGACATATAATTATACCAATAGGGTATATAGTTTTACTAATTAATTTCAGGCAGCTATATATGAATATACTACTATTACATAATACACATGCATAAAGAGAAAAATTAAAAAATAGTGTACCACATATTAATATAATAATATATTTCAAGATATTGTAGTATAATACTATTATATAAAACAAACACATAGAGAAAAAATCAAAATGATTATATAATACATATGCATAAAGAAAATTTTAAAAAAAACCAAGATACTATACTATTCTACTATTACTAAAAAAATATTAAACAATATACCAATTAAATATAGCTAATACAATCA